TGACTTCCACGAGGTCCCACCTTTTAATGGTTCCACCACTGTGACACTGCAACACAAGGAAACAGATTTCTAGCATGCTAGCCTTTGGGGGCTAAACCTCTTCCAAATGACAGCAGTCATTCCGGTGAGAAAATGGGACTAATCCCTGTCACTCCTTTCTCTGTCCCCCATCGCCTTTGGTAAGGGCTCCCCTGTGACTGAACAGGCTGGCAACTGGAGACTGTCCAGTTAAAGGAGGCTACGTCTCTGTCGTAAACCCAAATCCGACCCAGTGACGCTCAGGAAATAAGTCCAGGCCACATCTGGAGGCCCTGCAGAGGTGAGGGAAGGACACCCATGCAAGCTGGGATTCTTTTGCTCTCCCTGCAGACGTTAGATCTGCCTTTTCACAGGCTGCTCTGCCTGGGAAAGTCTGCAGGGAGGCCAAGTCCATGGTTAAACTAGGAGCCCTTCGTGTTCCAGGACTCTCGTTCCTGCCCTTTCTCTTGAGCAGTAAATAACTCAGCTTTGAAAAACATGCCTTGGTGACACGTTCATGATGGCCAAGGGAACGGCAGAGCCCGGATGCCTGAGAGTAGAGCTCAGAGCTCCAGCCCTGGTCTCACTCGCTCACACCGATTTCCTCAGTGCAGAAAATGGTGGTGACCATGGCCCCGAGGGCCACCAAGGAAGGGGTCCTATGTCTTATAGTGGTGTCCACCAAGTCCCCCTGAACAGGGTGGACATAATCCCACCAGCTGGTGGCAATACTGGTGCAAAGACTTGTCACTGTGTTCCTTGATGGCCACAGCCCTACACCCAAAGAAACTGCAATTCCCAAGTTTCCTTCCACTTTCAAGAGGCAGTTAATGCTGGAATTAAATGCCCATCTCACTTCTCTCCATGTGGGACATCTTGGTTTTGCAGCTTCAAGTACTGGGTGAGGCCTCAGGCACAGCTGTGTTATTGGTGGATTATGCCCTCTCCTCAAACCTGCCTTCCTCACGGCCTTCCAGGTGTGTCTCAATTTCGCATGCCACTCTCCAACACAGGGTCTATTTCCAGGACACCTAAGCTATGTGACTTTCTCTTCATGGTCACTGTTCCCTCTGAGGGCAGTTTCAAGATGCATGATATTAACATCATCCTAGAAAAATGATTTGCTATAATTACACTAAGATTTAATCTCACTCTGGTTAGAATGGCAGTCATGAAGAACACAAATAATAATAAATTCTGGTAAGAATGTAGGGGGGAAAAGTATACTTACACACCATTGGTGAGAAAGTGAATTAGTACAAACGCTATGGAAATCAGACTGGAGGTTCCTCAAAAGACTAGAAACGGATCTACCATAAGACCCAGCTATACTGTTCCTCAGTATTTCTCTAAAAAAAAATTAAAGTCAGAATACTGTTGTGCTACCTGCATACCTATTTATAGACTTAATAGTCAGGTTATGGAACCAGACTAAGTGTCCACCAACAGATAACTGGATAAAGAAAATGTGGTATATATACCCACCACAGTTTGTTATAAAGAACAAAAAAATTATGTCATTGCAGGAAAAGTGGATGGAACTGGAGAACATCGTGCCAAATGAAATAAGCCAGACTCCGAAGTCAGGGGTCATGTGTTTTCTTTCATATGTAGAAATTAGAGAGAAAAGGTTGGGCACTTCATGAAAATAGAAGGGAGACCAGGGTGGATAAAGGACGGGAGGGTCAGTACGAAGCGGGTGGGGGACAAATTAGACCAAATTATGCTATGTGCAGATACAAATACATCACATTGGAGCCTGCTATTGTGTATAATTACAATTTACCAATAAAAATAGTTTTAAAAGGAAAATGATTTGCTTTGTGGTTAGAAGAAAAACATTTTTGTTAGGTGTAAATCCCTGATATTTACTTCCCCTCTGATGGCTATCGGCTTGCTAAGGAGGCCTGGGGAAAACCAGCAGGGCCAGAAGTGACAAAACTCTGGCTCTAGAGACTTACAGGGGAAGTCACTGAAAGGCAGACTGAAAAGCAGTTCCAAATAGCAGGGACATGGGACATGCCAAGGGAGCTGCTGAAAGGAGCCGGGTGTGAGATTAGCAGAGATAGCAGGGAAAGTTGGAAAGGGGACAGAAAAGAAGAGGCAGAGAGGACTACTTGAGAGATAAGATACTTTTGTTTAATTTCCTGGATTAGTTGCTTTTAAATGGTTTACCAGAAAAAAAAAAAATCTGCTCTGTTAATTTACTGCAGGAGCTTTGTAATTGGAGAGCTAATGGCCTTCCAGGGGAAGGGAGGAAGGGAGGATGGCTGTAGATTTGTGCTCAGAGGTGAGCATGCTACAAGAAGCCCCACCTGTGTGTACAATGTACTTAAGGGATTAGAGCATACTTTGAAATTATGATATGTTTTACCTAAAGTAAGCACCTCACTTTTTAAGCTTCTATTTCCTTGAAGGAGGAGGGAAGAAAACCATCCATTCTCCCAGGTAATCAGGTGCATAAGACTTTCTGCTTGTGGGATTTAATAAAGTTTAGTGCAGGGGGATGAAGGGTGTGTTATTAATCTTTTAGCATGATAAAACTTATTGTCAACACTTGTGATTCTAATTCAAAGGTCTGGCTTGCAAGAGGTCCATCAGCTCTGGTTACAGGTAAAATTTTTTGGAAGACTCAGGAGTGAGAGGGCCAGGGAAGCTGTAATATGAGGGGTGAGAGGACATGCAAAAAGACTTTTTAAAGCAGAATTGCTGTAGTCTCCATGTTTCCTTCAGGGTCTTCCAGAAATGCAAGTAAATACTTGATGGTCTTTATTTAAATATAAAGTGTCCTGGGGCTGAAGTGGGGTGATTATTAAAGACAGAAACTTCATCTCCCTTTCCTCTGTTTATCTGGAAGGGAGGCAGGGCCCGTTTATAAATGAATAATGCTCGTCCACTACCGGCTAAGCTGCTGTTTTTGATGATTTTGTAGCAAAAGGTTTGTCAGTCAGGCAGAGGGCCAGAGGATATGGTAACCAGAAATACCTACCTTAAACAGCATGCAGTTTTTAGGAGACTGAGAATCACACACAGATATGTCTAATAAAGACATAGAGACTTTATTTTTAAAACACTCATGTTGCAAAAAAATACATAGAAAAATAAAGTTCAACTGGGGTTCTTTACTAAACTTCAAGTCACAGACCTTTATGTTACATATTGAAGCAGTGTTTGTGAACTAATTTATTAAACAGGATAGAAACAGACTGTCCTGGTCACCCGTCAGGCTCATAAACTATTTCTTCAAATATTTTTCTACCAGTTCAGGTGTGGGTGAATGACTAGTTCCAACGGGGATTGATAAACAAAATAATTTGAAACAAACTTTCTTTTTGCAACACAATACACATCATAGGTAAATGTTTAATCCTTGTAGAACTGCAGGTTGAAAGAATTCAGAGAGGGAAGAAAGAGTACGGAGTGGAGAAGCAGCACTAAATGCTTAAGAGACTGTCCAAAGCAGACAGCAATTGAGGCTCCTCTGCATTTGGAGCCATCTATAGTACTGTGGAGGAGGGGGGCGGCAGCACGTGGCACTGGACATTTCAACTTGGAGCACAAACCATGGAAAAATGGGCTGAAACTGGCTAACTTTCTATCAACTCACTTTAGGAGTTTGGCCACCAACAATAAACTGGCCCTTTTAATAGGAAGAAATTGAAACGTTTCTTACTGCACAAAATTAAGTAGTGGGAGCAATAGACTTCCCAGCCTCAGGGTACCTCATAGGCAATGTTTTTKGGTTATTCCCCCCAATGGCTCCTCTCTACCAGGTCACCTGAAGGAATACAACAGAAAAGTGCAGCCAACCTTCTTTTTTGGCTTGCTGCTAGTTTTCGCTGAAGTCATTCTGGGGAGCTGTTATAGTACTGAGCACAGGTCCTGAAGCATGTGAATAGTTGTTTATTTGGTGATGGAAGCCACGACCATGTTGTTTTGAACATGGTTTCCTTTTTCTTAGCCTCTTCCTGCAAAGCATATCCCCTCCTTCTCCTGCTCAGTGGATGAGGCTACCTTCGGCCCAGGTACGTTTCTTCCCTGCTCGCTCTGGGAGCCCTTCATTTCTACTGGACAGACGGGTCAATGATATTGGCCCCTGGGCACTACATTCTTTTTTCCATGCAAAAATGCATTAGTCCTTACCTTCTCTGCCTACAAGGATTTCCAAAGAGGGTCAGACTCTGAAGTGTAACAACGGAGCCACAGTGTCCTATAAATGCAGCAGTGACCTTCTCAAGCTGTCAGGTCTTTAAATAGGATTTGGGATTTAATGCTGTATATTTTTAAAGGAAAGAAATAAGCATTGCTACTTTAGAAAATGTATGTCTTTTGGCCAACTCAGAATCTGCCCCCCTCCCCCTTTTTTTCCAAGGCTGGGTGTGATAAGAGAAAAAGAAAGACCAGATCTCGGGCTAAATAAGAAAGGCCTGTTAGGTGTAGCCAAACTAAAAGCCTGGACTGAAAAGAAGCCCTTCAGTGGGTAATTGTTGCAGAAAAGAAAAGAATAAATAAAATAAAATAAAAGGAGGGAAGAAAGGACCTTACCCTAAAAAAAAAAAAAAAAAAAAAAAAAAAAAGAAGAAGAAGAAAAAAAAGTGTCACCTCTGTTACAATGGAGAACAAATTCTACCCTGAAAACCCCAGGAACCTCTCATTCTAAATTTTCCAGCTAGGGCAGATGGGGTTGGCAGACGCCTGTCCACTTTTTGCCAATAAAACAGGCAACAGGACCCTCCTAGGCCCCTGCTTGGACACGCGGAGGTTCTTCTGGCACAGTCCCACCCCTTCTGGTCCAGTACTGTTTATACAGCTTGTCTTAAAAACCACAGCGAGCGCATCTTGTTCTACTCAGGCCACCCTGTAAATACTTAAATTGGCATACTACTGAAAAAGGAATAAGAAGCTCAGATTTTCACCTCCCCACCCCTGTCCCATGCCAACCTGCCCAGAGCATGAGGGCTTTTCATTGAGACCTTCCTCACTTTTACAGGAATAGAGAGAAACCTGGGCCCCATTCCAAGGCCAATAGGAGTTTTTTGAACCTAAGTTTACTTCAGTAGGTGACATCCTCATCTTGGCTGTCTTTCTCTCCTTAGGTTGGCTCTTTCAGAGTTGATATCAATCACCCAGGAGGATGGAGCCACAGCAACAGAATCCTCAGGAGCAAGGCACACAGCTCATCCAAAGTCAAGCAAAGTGCTGGGAACAGCACTTGGTTTTTCTCTTCCTCTCCTCAAACAGTAAGCTAAAAGCAACAGTGATCTATGGCAGGCACTGGGGGAACTATTTAGATAGTGAAATAGTCGCTGCCCTAGGTCTTTCATTGGCCCACCAGTGAAGAATCTGGGATTTCCACAGAAACCTCCAACAGTTTTGGTCTGCACACCTCTTGGACCCCAGCTCTTCCTGACCTCAGCCCCTTCAGTTTTCCACAGAGACTCTCCGGGGAAGGCAGTTTCTGATCGCACATAGTTGTCCTCTGAGCTGGCATTACCAGAGAGCAGGGCTCCAGCTGCCCAGGCAATAAAGGTAGGGGTAGTAAGGGTAGCTGTTATACATGGAGATTAGGGAGGCCCTGGAGAAGCCCCCCTCCTTCAGGACTGGTAAGGAGGAGGGCTTCTCTAAGTCGCCCAGATCTGAAGACAGCTGCTTTCGTTTAGTCTTATAGCGTCTGTTCTGGAACCATATTTTCACTTGGGTCTCAGTGAGTTTGAGGTTCTTGGCCAGGTGAGCCCTTTCGGGGGCAGACAGGTACTTCTGATGGCTGAACTTCCTCTCTAACTCAATGACCTGAGTGTGGGAGAAGGCAGCTCGGGAACGCTTCTGAGGCTGCTTGGGGGTCTGGGAAAGGCTTGGTAAGGCGCCTGAAGTGTGCTCACAGTCCAAGAGATAAGTCTCAAAGTGACTATCTGGAAAAGAGAGGAGGAGGAGGATTAGAAGAAAAAAGTTACATGTTAGCACAGAATTCAATCCACCCTTATCTCGTCCCTGAGTGAACAAAACAGCCCACTGTTATCTTGGAAACATTTCACTTTTTTCGCATGATTAAGGAACTCTCTGGAAAGGAGAATGAGTAAATTTGTATATTATGTATTAGATTTCTAATAATCAGCAAGAATCCGAAGTTACAGGCATTTAGTGGTTGCACTTTCTGCCATATTGTTGAGTACAATTAAATGGGGGGTTCTGGATATGTTTGTTAAAGATATGTGGGAGCAGGCAGGCAGGAAAATACCCCAGAAGTGAGACACCCGGTAAAGGGAGACAAAAAGGTATCCGGAGATAGCATCCGGGTGGGCAAGAGAGGGCTTGTGCGATGGGAGAGGCGGCAAGGGCTAATGGCAAGTTCATTCTCTGGCTTTATTCCTCTTTACCCTAAATGAGGCGTTAGGTTGGTGCAGAAGAAGTGATGGGAAAGAAAATGAGTCTACTCTATAAATATTCCAACAGTGTTATTTCTCCTTAAGACCAAAAGGAACAGTCCAAAGTACTGTGTTACGGCCCACGAGACTGAGAAGCAAAGGGACTTCTGCTGATCAAACAATAATTAATATTAATACATTCTTATTAGTTCTAATCGCCTGAGCAGGTGCCACTGACTTTAGCGGGTCAAGCGGTGTCAAAATAGGGCACCACCCTGCAGAGGGGCTCAGGTTTTAACCTCGAGGCTCGTCCGTGGCCAGGGGATAGCGAGGACAGTGATGCCGCACCCCAGCATCCCGAGCTCCGGGAGGTCCTCCTGGGACCAGGCCTCCCCGGTCTCGCCGTCTTACCTGGCTCGGACTCCGCCAGCGTCTCGGCCTCCCCCGGAGCGGCACAGGGCCCGGCGCTCAGCGGCTCCGCAGGCGCCCGGGCGCGGCCTCCTTCTCCTCCAGCCTCGGGCTCAGGCTCAGGGTCGCGCCTTGGGTCCGGCCCGGACGGTGGCTGCGGGTGACCGGTTTGGCCGCGGCGCCGCTCGGGGCAGTCCCGCAGGATGTCCTGGATGAGGAAGGAGGTCAGCGGCTTGGACTGCGTGGGCGGCGCGGCCCGCGGACTGCAGCCGGCCGCCTCCGCCTCGCCCGGCCGCGGCTCGGGAGCCCGGAGCATCCCGGCGGCTGGCTGGGGCCCGGCCCACTGCGCTCCACCACTTTCGCTTTCCGCCGCCCCGCGCGCACTTATAGCCCCGGGGGAGCGCGCCGCGCCGCCTTCCCATTGGCCGCGGGGGCACGGGCCGCGCCGCGGATTGGCTGCCCGGCGCGCCAGGTGACCCGGAGGTGGTGGGGGTCCTTCGCACGGTCGCGCACCGCTCTTCCCAGGTCTCTTCCCAGATCTCCTCCCCGACTCGCCTCCCTCGCTCCAACCCGTTTCCCAGGCTGGGCGCGAAAACCAAAGCGGTCTCCTTTGCCGCTAGACACTCGCAGGCGTCTTCCCGGGATAACGATGCCCCAGAGTCACTTCGTTTAGCTCTTACAGACCGTCGCCTTTGTTCACAGGGATAAGACGGTCACTCGCGACGACTCTGCTTTACCAATGAGAATCCTGGGTACCCCGTGACGGGGAGGGGTGGGGTGGGGGGATTGGTGGTAAAGCCAGGTCTACTGAATCTCAGGTTCTCCAAGTGGTGTTGTATGACCACTGTGCAGTGCCTGACCTCGGGCTGGATTCCGTACCAGACGTTATTTCACAAACAGGAAAGTTGAAAGTATTMTCAGCATTAAATTTACTGAAGTTGAGCGCTGTGCTCTAATTGTATAAGAGAGTATTCTTAAGAAATAAAGCCTGAAGTTGTAGGGACAGAGGCACTCAGTGGAACTTATGCTGGAGTGGTTCAGAAACAATGATGTAGATGGATCAATAAATCCAACGTCAAAAAACAAATGGCTTAGAATATCCACAATTGATGAATCTGGATAATTGCATGCCGGTATTCTTTTTAACCACTTTTATGTGGTTAAACACACTCTTTTTTTGGTGTGTGTTTGTCTTGGTTTAAGTCGTCCTCCATTCAACTGGAATCTTTTCAAAAGGGTACCTTGTGTGTCTGGGGAGAAGGGAAGGAGAATAGGTTATTGAGGATCCAACATCCGCCAAACAGAACTATCCTGGGAAACGGGAAGGCCTTAGAAAAACTGAATTTCCTCTTTCATATATTTTAGGCCTCCTGTCCTTTAAATTTTTGAAAATGTTTCCTTTTGAAATAGTTATAGATTCACAGGAAATTGCAAAGTAATACCTGTAGTGTTGGCCATAATGGCATCTTAAAAAAACAGAAAGTGGACTTTAGTACATTGCTGTTGACTGGATTACAGATTTCATTTTATTTTTGCCATTTAAAAATCTGCATTAATTTGAGTGTGTGTGTGTGTGTGTGTGTGTGTGTTTGTGTGTATCTTTTTGTACAATTGTGTCACAGTTTAGGTTCATGTAATCATCAATCACAATTAAGATGGAGAATCCTTTGCTCACTGCAAAAGAACTCTGCAGAACTGCCTGTTTGTGTCCCTGGCCCCTTATCTCCTGCCCAACCCCTGACAACCACTACCCTGTGCTGCATATCAACAATTTTACCATTCAGAGAATGATGTATAAACCCTACTCTGTAGGGTTTGTAGCCTTTAGAGATTGGCTTTTTTTCACACGACTATAGTACTCCTGAAGTCCACTTTGATTATTGCATGTATTAATAGTTCATTCTTTTTCATTGATGAATGATACTGTGTTGTATGGATCTATTTAACTGTTCTTATCAAAGGACACTAGAGTTGTTTACAGTTTTTTGCTATGATGAACAAAAGTGCTGTGAGCACTCATGCAAAGCATTTTTTGTGGTTTGGGTGGGTGTTCCCCCAAAGGCCCACAGAATGGCACTTCTGGGAGATGCATGGATCTTTAAGAGGTGGGACCTAATTGGGGAGGTCCTTATGCCATTGAGGATGTACACTATTTTTATTTTACCATTAATAGGTATAGACTGCTATCTTGAAAGGGATTGTGACCTGGTTCTCCCTGTCTTTTTTGCTCCCCCCCTCCCCCGCCGACCCCCAGCTTCCTGGCTAAGGATGTGATCATTTTCTTCCACACACACTCTTATCAAGATGTACTGCCCTGGCCTGAGGGCCAAACCAATGTAACCACCGACCTTGGACTTAAACTCTAGAACCATACGCCTTCTTTACTTCATCAGGAGTCTATATCAGGTATTTGGTTATAGTAACAGAAAGCTGAYTAATGCAAAAAGTTTCATTTCTTTGGGTTAAATGTCCAAAAGTACACTTATTGAGTCTGATCTAAGTATCTGTTTAGTGTTGTAAGGAGTTGCCAAATGATTTTTCTAGAGTGTTTGCGCCATTTTACATTTCCACAACCTATGTATGGGAGTGTCAGTTTCTCCACATCTTCAGCACTTGGTTAATCACTATTTTTATTTTAGCCATTAATAGGTATAGACTGCTATCTTGTTTATTCTAGCTTTAGTTTTGATTTGCACTTGACAAATGGCTAATGATGTTGAACATGTTTTCATATGGTGGCCTATTTGCTAACCCTCTCTGTTCTATGGCAAAATATCGTTCAAGTCTTGCCCATGTTATCATTGTATTTTCTGAATTTTAAAAATTTACTATTGAGTTTTTTAAGATTCTTTTTTATACCTTTATTTTATTTATTTAATTTTATGTGGTGCTGAGGATCTACCACTGAGCTACAAYTCCAGCCCCTACTATTGAGTTTTGATAGTTTTCTATACATTATATAAACAAGCCATTGTTGGATGTGTGGGTTTGACAATATTTGCTCAAATTTGTAGCTGTGTTTTCATCCCCTTAATAGAATTGTTTATAGAGCAAATGTGTTTGGTGAGGTCCAGTTGATTAATTTTTTTATCTTACAGAGTGTGATTTTTGTGTCATGCTCAAGAACTCTTTGCCTAGCCCTATAATGTCCTCTAAGTTTCATACTTTACTCTTAAATCTATGCTCCATTCTGAATTAATTTCGTATATGGCGTGAGGTTTAGATTGAAGTGGCCTCTTTTCATTTTTAAAATTTAGAACGGGTGGTATTTCAAATCAGTGGGGAAATGTGAATAACTTAATAAGCCAATGCCATTCTGTGGAACTTATAACACTATTTGTTATAAATTCTATTCTTATGACAAAATGAATCCCAGATGACTTAAAGGAGTAAAACAAAATGGCACATTGGGGAAACACCACACTCATCATTTGAGAAACGCAAATCAAAACCACATTGACACACCCCTTTCCACCTCTCAAAATGGCAAAGGTTTTATAAAAAATGAATACTGTCTGGCAGTGGTGGGCCTATGGAAGAATAGCTGTTCATAGCAAGTTTGGTGGAGAGTAAACCAGTTTTGCATCTTGGATGCCAACTTGACAATGTCTATCAGCATTAAAACTGGGCATATCCTTTGACCAGCTATTCCATGCTTAGAGATTTGCCCCYGAAACTCATGAATGTACCTACTTGGGGAGTATCTTCAGCTTGGCCTGAGACTGGTTCAAGTTGCAAAATGTATAGAGAATGAAATTATTGTATTAAAAGGTGGTGAGAAGTTATCTATATACTATTCTGCATATTTGGAAGAATATATAAATATACATTTCTTTTTTCTATAGAGACATTATCTCAGTTCAGTAAGATGAAAATAGGTTGGAAGAAGGAAGGAGAGTGGAGCAGGATGTTTATCCTGTACTCATTTCTAATTGCCATAAATTACAAATCCAGAGCTAGGATTGAGCTGGGCCACCTCCTTCCCCATGACCTCCTCAGGTCTCAGATCTCCCTTTAGAATGGGGACACTGTTCATGACACTTGACCTCACTTGCTTTACGTCTCCTCCCCTTCGTGCTTTGCACTTGGTTTACATGACCAGGTCATTTCCTTTATCAGACTACAAGCTTCATGGAAGGGACTCGGTACACGGCAGACACTTAAGAAATGTTTGCTAGCTGAATGTCTTACTAAGAGGCATCTCACTGACTAGCAGAATTATCCATATGTTACCACAGGGTCCCAAGGCAAGTCACAGAGGAAGACAGGTGGCCCTGTCTCCTTGTTGTGTTTATGCAGCTTAAGCTGGATGGAAATGACCAAGGGTCATCAGGAGGATACACAGTGCCATGGAGGCAGAATAACAATCCCTCAAAGATGCCCACTTCCTAGCCCCCAGAATCAGCGAGTGTGTTCTGCAAATGGCAAGGGATAGTTAAGGTTACAGTTGGAATTAAAGTTGCTCACGAGCTGACCTTGAGGTGGGAAGATTGTTCTGGATTATTTAGGTGGCCAGAGATCCAGAGTGAGAGGAACTGGTATCTGAGGAAATCTTGGGAATGGCATGTGAGAAAGACTCAGCTGGCCACGGCTAGCTTCGAGGCTGAACGGAAGCCATGAGCCGAGGACTGCAGGTGGCCCCTAGGAGCAGCAAAAGGAACSATTGATTCCCTTGTGGGTCTCCARGAGGAATTCCGCTCTGCCTGCACTCCCCATTAGCCCAAAGGGGCCCAGTTTGAACTTCTGACCTCCAGAACCGTAGGGTAATGGATCTGTGTTATTTAAAACCACCATTTTTGTGATAATTTGTCACAGTAGCTTTAAGAAGCTAATATAGTGGCCTAATAAAAGTAGCAGAATGATGGGAGAAAACCAATCAGCTCTGCTTTGATTGCAAAAATGGGAACCTTGGGTCCTTTTTTTAAAGTTATTTATTTATTAAATTTTATTTTATTTTTTTACAAAATGGAGCACAACTTTTCATTTCTCTGGTTGTACGTGATGTAGAATCACACCATTCATGCAATCATACCCATACATAGGGTCATAATTTCCGTCTCGTTGCACAATCTCCCCCCACACCTCCTTCTCTCCCCTTCCCCCATACAAAATTTCTCCATTTTTCCCTTGCCGCCCCCCCCCCATTATGGATCAGCATCCACTTATCAGATAAAATATTTGGCTCTTGGTTTTTGGGGATTGGCTTACTTTGCTTAACATGATATTCTGCAACTCCATCCATTTACCTGTAAATGTTGGGTCTTTTTWAAAAAAGTTGAATTTTACATTTAGACACATAATCCCATCTCTTCTCTA